CAATTACATGAGCAAGGTAATGAGTACATTTCTTATCAAGCATTGTTGCCTCCTCCTATGTTTCCCCTTACCATCCCTGCCCTCCCATCTTCCCACTCCCACAACTGTTGTAAAGTTTATTTTTCAACATAATGTCTTGTACATCTCATTGTTGCAATTGGTCCACCCATATCCCTATTTAAACAATTTTTTTCCTTCCCCTCCCAAAATCATACCAACATCAAATACAGTGAAAACAGAGATCTCCTTGGCACAAGCTCATTTTTATTTAACAAAGCTACAAATTGAAGTGTGACACTGCATAAGGCTACTATGTTCCATGTCTGTTTCCTCTGGTCCTCCTCTTATGGAGGCCTTTTCTCACCTGACTCTTAGAGGTTAGAAGACTATGTTCTTCCCTTCCAAAAATCTACCATTAACTGGCAAACAAGCCCCTCAATGAGCAAAGGCTTTCCCTGAGACATGAGTATGTATTGGATTTTCTCTCAGAATATGCATATAGCACTCAGACATCCAAAGTAGACCCCTGCTATTTCCCTCAGCACAAACATCATCTTAGGAAAGACCATCCTTACCAGTTTCTCTATTACATTTAAGTTCTCCTAATCCCTCTGTCACTGATAGATCTAAAATATCTCAACTTCCCCTGGTGGTAAAACATGAATAGCCTCATAGCCACAGCTGTGCTGGGAGAAGTTCTATACTTACTGAGTCCCAAACAGACAGAAAACATTTATAAAATTTTCCACTGAATATATCATGAGTTTTACTAGGGAAGCACAAACCACACAGAGAGTTAGTTTTAGTGCCAGGGTCAGACAAAACTATTGAACAAATGCTACTTCTGCCGCTGCTCCCTCTCTGCTCCTGCCAACACCACTCCATGAAGCAAGGCCTTGTCAGGTGAGACAGAGCTTATGCATGTGTGTCCTGATTGACCTGAAACTCTCTATTCCCTCCTGTGTCTCCCTGAGTGATTAGGATTACACATAGGCAGTCTCTGTGGTAGAAACATTCCTTTCATCTCAAATAGCTTATATGTGTATTTCACAGGATGTCACTATCAATGTTATACCTCACATCTTAAATAAGAATCCTACTTTTAAACAGAACTTTGAAGGCATTTTAGGAAAAGGAATAAACACAACACACTCTGCCCTCATTTACATGGCAGCTAGCCTGTGAGATATCAGTGACACAGTGACCCTGAGATCCCTGTGTGCAGATCAGCTTCTTACTCTATGCACACAACAGATATTTTTTTAAATAAGCTTTTTTATTGTGAAAATACTGTACAGAGGGTTTACAATTATATTAGCAAGGTAAAGAGTACATTTCTTATCAAGCATTGTTGCTACCTCCTTTGTTTTTCCCCTACCATCCCTGCACTTCCATCTCCACAGCTACATTTCCCTCTCTCCTCCCTCACCCATGCCTAAATTATAAAGTTCATTTTTTGACATGGTGTCATGTACATCTCGTGGGTTAACCTGTATCTCAATTTGAACAAGTTGTTTTTACCCTTTTGCTCCCCAAATTATACCAACATCAAATACAGTCAAAACAGGGGTTATACCAATGCGCAGGTCATACAAAATTACAAGAAACTTACATGGAACCTGTTAAATACTTTAGAAACCATTGCAAGGAAGAAAAAAAAAAACACCTGTGTCCCTGTCGTGGGGTTCATTTTGCTGACCTTTTCTGCTTGTCTTAGATATATACTAGTTATTGCAAATAAGGGAACCCATGGGACTTATGTTTCTTTGGGCTTGGCTTATTTCACTTAATATATATTTTTCTAAGTCTTTCCATTTACTAACAAATGGGGCAATAACATTCTTTCTGGTGGAGGCATAAAATTCCATTTTGTATATATACCACATTTTCTTGATCCATTCATCTCGTGAGGGGCATCTGGGTTGGTTCTGTATCTTAGATATGGTAAATAATGCTGCATTAAAAACATGTGCTGGTAGCTTTAGTATTGTCTACACAAGAAATCTTTATGTTTATGATTTCTACCTGAGACTCAGGGCATAACAGTCTTATTAAACAAATTGTTTTTTAAAATTTTATTTTATTTTTTTATTGTGAAAATACTGTACAGATGGGTTACAATAACATGGGCAAGATAATGAGTTTATTTCTTATCAAGCATTGTAGCCTCCTCCTTTGCTTCCCCTTCCCATCCCTTCCCATCCATCCCCACATTCCCCCACCCTTATTACACAAATTGTAAAGTGGTTGATCTCCACTCTCATATCCACTCTTCTTTCCTCCTGAAACATATCCAATCCTATAATGTCTTGGTCTCAAACCAAGGTGTTGGATGTTGTGTGCACCAGGAGTGGATGTGTATCAAAAGACAGGTCCACCTTCAAAGTTCCTCTAATTAAATGCAGGTAAATAGAAAGGCATGGCTTTTACAGTTTCATCATAGCTTCCTTTGGCTTCAGAAGTATCATATTTCAGGCCTCAGATACATCATAACTGGGGTCGAAGTTTGTGAATCTCTCAAATCCAGATCCACATGCAGTTCATTTAGTGAAGGATGATGAAGAGAACTCTGATTTGGCAGGGACTTTCCCTGTATGTGAGCTTCTGACTATGAGGAGCAGTGTTGTTTTGTGTACCTGCAGCACCTGAGACTCACAATGATGAGAGGTTGATTCACTGTCATGTGGCTCCCCAGATGTGACATCCTGCACTAGGGTGGACAGTGTCCCCACACGCTGGTCCTGATGTAGGAGCCATCCTCACTGCGCTCTGCCTTCACTGTCTGTGGCAGTTTTTCCTTGCTTCCCATGCTAAGGATGTCTTCTCCATTCCTTGTGGCTTCATTGCCTTGCTCACCCTTTACTGTGTTTCCTTTCATCAAATCTGAACCTGCTGGGACCATAAGTTCTAGCCTAGTTACTAAAAAATGTTATTCTGAACTGGGAGAGACGATAGCATAAGAACATGAAGGTTTATGAAGCAGAAGAGACTGAAGTAGATATGAGTCTTGGTTTAGGGAACATCTTATCTTTGAAGGGGGTCTTTTTGGGCTATTGATAGGAGACAGTAATGTTACCTGAGAGATTTGGAGACTTCTAGCTCAGAAATTCATGAAGATCACCAAGCTACACATTTAGCCATGTCTTTTAAATCTTTCCAACCCTCCTGACTTCCATGTGCCCTGAGCACAGCCCACTGCCCTGAGAACTTCTTCTGAGGCTGCTCACACCCTATGCAGGAGAAGGTTCCACTCAACAAACAGCCTGGACATGAAGGGCCCTGCTCAGCTCCTGGGGCTCCTGATGCTCTGGCTCCCAGGTAAGGAAGAATAATGTGGAGATTACTCTTCTCATATTAACAGAGCAGCTTGAGGCTTCGTGGATGTACTTGGATAATATCATTAATTCAATGACTAATTGTTTTAATGTTTCCAATGTCAGGTGCTCATTGTGATGTCCAGTTGACTCAGTCGCCATCCCTGTCTACATCTCTGGGAGAGAGAAGCACCATCACTTGCAAAGCCAGTCAGATCATTAGCAATTATTTACATTCTTACCAGCAGAGAGCAAGGAAAGCTCCAAAGCTCCTGATCTATTTTGCACCTACTTTGCAATCCGGGGTCCCATGGAGGTTCAATGGAAGTGGATCTGGCACAGAGTTCACTCTCAGCATCAGCAGCCTGCAGCCTGAAGATTTTTCCCACTTACTACTGTCAGCAGGGTAATTATTTACCTACCCCTGTGACACCAGTCATAACAAAAACCTCCCAGGGAAGCAGAAGTGAGAGCCTGGGCTGCCCCAGATGCTTACCCTGGTGCTTCCAACTGCTGACAGAACATCTCAGATGCAGCCCCCTTTTTAAGGTCACTGGAAAGCATTGGGAGATAGGTTCTGGAGTCAATTGCATACCTTAACTCTCTGTCCTCCTGCTCATCCCAAGCAGCACACACCTGACACTGCCTCTGCTGTGACTTACAAAGAACACTGCTCTGTACTCATGTATGGTCCAGTCTGTCCTAAAATTCTGCAGTCAGTCAATAATGAAGCCATTCTATATATGTCAGGACAGGTTTTTAAAGGCAAGGAAAAATACCTTGTGAAAAGCATTTTGAAAACTACTTTTTCTTTTAAAGAAAAACAGTCGTTAAGAATTTTTTAATTCAATTTTGGATTTCCATGGAATAATTTTATTTGAAGTACAATATGATGTTTGGGGATGCTAAATAATGTAATAAACAAATGAGTTGAGTACCTTCAACATTTATCAACTTCCTGTCAGGGAATTTTATTTCCAGCAAATGTATTTTTTTAAATAATTTCAACTCTTATGTCAAAACATACAACATTTTAATCTAGTACTCAGAAAATTTGATTTGATACTGAGTATCATATAATTGTTCTAAACTTTTGAAAGTAGAGTGGAAAAATAAGTTTTTAAATACCTTCAGGAAATATCAAGAAAAAATTAACTAATACTTTGTATCAGGTTTTGGAAGGTTTGAACATGTTTTTTTTTCTGGTGCTTGATCTTAGAAGTGTTATTCAGAGAGCAGATAACAAAAGCACCCTTGGCTTCTGGCATAGTTCACATAAATCCAAAATGAAGCCTGGAAATAAATATATGTGAATAAATAAAATATATTTAAGACACTTGTGGAGTCATGCACTAGGTACAGTTACATAGTAACCCATATTATATCTATATTTATCAGAGTAATCAGAAGTGACTTCCATATATCCTACAGACATAGTCATAAGTTCACATTTAGTAATTAACATGCATTCTTACACATGGAAATGTATATGGAAGGGAGGAGCTGGATTGGGAGGGATGGTTCAGAATGATGAAAGGCTGATAGCTAAAGAAGAATTGCATTTATAACCTCATATGTTTAATAGAAATCATTTTATACAACTCCTTATAGATATTAAAAATAGAATTTAGGACATGAGAGGTATGAATTCACCGCCCAACTCTCAGAATATATCCAGGAGGGCATTGCCCAATACCAGATGCACACATGACTCTTCCTATTAGCAACTTGTAACTATAGCAAGAGTTTCAGGAAGTCTCAGTTCATGGAAAATGAGATATTTTCATGAAATATGTAAGTGACCATTCTCAAATAGAAATATTTCTTGACAAAAAGGAAGCAAACATAACTAAACATGTATGTACTAGTATTTTCTTTCCTACTCAGAAGGTGTCCAGAATTCAGGATCATCAATAGCATCTCCCAGAGCATGTTACCAATACAATATTACAAATCCACTTCACATCTACTGAATGTGAATTGGCATTTCAACAAGTTAACAAGTAATCTCGGTAAGGATTAAGAAGTTGTATTTAGAAGAAGAAAAGTATCACAGGTAGAGAGATGCTTTTTACTCCTCAATTAGCCTATTATGAGCACTTCTATTTAAACCAAATTTCTCTCTCTCTCTCTATCTCTCTCTCACACACACACATGTGTGTATACACACACATGACACACCATTGTCAGTCCTTTTCTTTAACAAAGTAGCTGACCTAAACTCTGAATAAAGAAGAGTTTGTTTAAGTCATAGTTTTAGATGCCGAACGTCCCTGATGCTGTATCTTCATCTGTCTTTACTCTGAAGACTCTCTTGCATGTGGTACAATATGTTGTGTTAATAAAGAGAGAACCAGTTGTAATTTGAGCTGGTCAAGCCTATGGTTTTCTTCATTTGATAGCAGGTGACTATTATGAGAACTGCCTCACTGCATGAGAGTACCTTTAACCCTCTGATGAGCAGTGGGTGTAATCTCCAATCCCATAATATAATCACTTCCCACAAGTCACCTATTTCATTGGTCAGGTTCATCCACTGGGGCAGCAGTACAAACATCCTGCATGTGCTCTTCCTTCCCTCAGGTGAAGTAGAGACTAAAATCTCTGAGACAAATAAACAGAGACTGGTTAAATTAGATTGGGATTGGAGATATTTGTAGATTTTATGTTAATTTAAGATAATCAAAATTATGTATATATATATATATATCATTTCAAGTAGTTACACAAAATGGTCTCACCTCAGTATGTCAATTGATAAGTACACCGTATTTTGATCCTTTTACCCATCCTGTACTCTCCAGAGGAAACTTTAAGAAATCATTTGATTAACTTGCTGTACAAATACATTGTGGAAGAATGACAAGATATTTAGTGAATTTAAAAAACTGTTACATTGAATTCACACTTTCAAGTGTAATAATTTTTCTCATTACGTTAAAAGACCATTACGGTACTTACAACCTGCAAGAGAAAATTTTGTTATCCTTGTCAATTGTATACCCTCTATCTTAATATGAAAATGCTGGCAAACAGAGATGCAAGCATTCCTAAGATATAAACTGGTTAACTATGGTATGCCTCTTCATCTAGCTTAACTCTGTGCTTTTATTGGTGAACTGTTTTGAGAATCAGTGCTGCTGATGCTTGACACTGTGTCTTTCTCTAGACTAGATGAGGGAGGAATGGAGGACCCAGGCACAATGTCCATTCCTTTCCTACAGTCTCTCCTGGACATAAAGCTGCACATCATTGGGCCTCTGATGCTATTTTAGGGTGGTGAGGTGATGTGCATCCTGTTTTTCCCTCAATTCCAGATATTATCAGTGGAGTCCTTCTTTCCATGCTAAAGGCATCATGGATTTTATTGGTTGTCACCAAATATAGAACAGATCTGCTGATACTTTGCTCAGAAGAGCAGGCCTTACTTCCCTGTGACTCTTCTCACACTGTTGTCCCTACCTGGCTATTTGCATATTGCTCCTTATGGAGGACCTTCCTTTCTAAGTCTGAGATAAAGGCTCAGATCAGAACTTGCCTTGACCTGTCAAAACTCCTCATTTCAGTCCTAAAAATGAAGTCCTTGTCTCAGCTGTTGTGGCTGTTAATGCTCTGGATCCCTGGTAACAGCAAAGGAGGATGAGAAATGAGAGTGGGGTGGCAGGGTGAGATATGATATTCCAGTTGTGCCCTATACATGTGTTAGATGTGCAGGTCTTGTTAATCATGAGGGAGTAAGTGAGATTTAGGTCTGCAGAGGGAGTGAAAACCTGTGTTTGGTGAGAATAATGTATTATGCCTAGAGCCCTATTTATGCTTAAAATTATCTCTATTTTTTCACCTTAATGAGCATGGAAGTTAGGGAGATGCCTTTTCCTTCTTAATTAAATCATTTAAGAGCATTTCTACTCAAATACCCCATTTCTCTCTCTCCCCCTCACACATAATCTGTATTAGTTCATTCGTAAAACAAGTTTCTTTTCATAAGCTCTGAATAAAGAGTTTTGTTTAACTCACAATTTTAGATGCAAAATGTTTTTATATTATAAGCCAAACCAGGTAATATTAATAATAGGTAATACATCAAAATAAAAATAAAAAGCATGTCTCTGTATGTTTGTGTATAACCTTGCACTTCTATCTTATTCTAATTTCAGGATCAAGTGGAGATGTTGTGATGACCCAGACTCCACTCCCCCTGCCTGTCACCCTAGGAGAGCCGGCCTCCATCTCCTGCAGGTCTATTCAGAACTTTCTATATAGCAATGGAAACACATATTTGAAATGGTTCCTGCAGAAGCCAGGCCAGTCTCCACAACTCCTGATCTATGAGGTTTCCAACTGAGAATCTGGGATCTCAGAAAGATTCAGTGGCAGTGGGTCAGGCACAGATTGCACATTGAAATGTAGCAGTGTGGAAACTGAGGATGATGGGGTGTATTACTGCTTTCAAGCTCCACATAATCCTCCCACAGTGATACATCGCTGAACTAGAACCTCTCCTCTGGCTGGGTGAGCAGCCCTCATGTGTTGCTGGTCTGGGAACCAGCAGAGAAGATTGTCTGAATGAGCTGAGGAGGAAGATATTGTGATCAGTATGACTGGGTGGACATGAAAAGCATATGATAATTTGATGACTTGGAAACTACAAAGAGCAGGAGAAAATCATGAAAGGATAAGACCAGGAGACTTTAGGTAAACAATGAGGTATCTATTGAAAAAAATATGTGTCTCTTAAGTAGTACTGTAGACAATCAGTGATATAAACATCAAGTATCTTCTATGATTTTATTCCCTTCATAAGGAAACTGATAAAACTTCCATCATGCATATGGTTTTGGCCCATATGTACAGTCTATGTTATGTTTTCTGTTCAGAAGCTGGAAGCCCAGTTGTACTTTGTCTAGCATCTTCTCTGTTTGTCCCCAAACCCTGCATAAATATCAAGGCCTTCACAGAGTTCTCTCACTGGTTCCTCATTGAATCAAGCTTGGGCTGACACAGTACTGGACTCTGCACACTGGTCTCTGGCCTTGTGTGTTCTGGGGATCTGGCTCTACTTGAGAGAGTAGAGTATGATGAAGTCGTGTAATAGTGTTCAGAGGTCACAGAAGTCTGAGACTGAGCCCTTGTATCTTTCTTGTATTCTGTCTTGTATCAGTGTCTATATTCTATTAACAGTTTTATGGGTCTGAAGCGTTGTATATCTTTTAGTGTCTCTAAGACAGAAAATCTCCATCACTTGATGGACAGAAACACTTTTGGAAGAGTCTGAATTTTTCTCACAGCTATGTCAACCTGGATGCAATATATCCTCCAGCTGGGTTCTGAGCTGTGGGATAGACCATTGATTTTCAAGTACCAGCCTGGTTGTTCTAGTAATAAGGCTTGTGATCATGATCCCGAACTGGGTTGTCAGCCCATCAATGTAACTGTAAGAGGAGCAGACACATGCGTCCATGAGACTAGGCAGAGGCAGGCAAGCACAGGAGAAAGAATATTATAAGGTTTATTAGAGAAGCCGTATTTCCCCAAGTGGTAGCACATGGCCTCCATCACCATCCAGATAGCAAGAGGATGTGACGGATAGGAAGTGAGGTAAATGGGAGTTCAGGTGGGTCTGGGCAGAGAGAGGGAGGAGACAAAGTATGGAGGGAACTCCAGGATGGGAGGA